CCCCCCCCCCCCCCCCCCCCCCTCCCCCCCCCCCCCCCCCCACCCCACCCCACCCCCTACTACACGAGAAAAGGCGTGACGGGACGCTTGAACCACACCTTCCTCGTGAAAACCTTCCCGGCGATGGACATTGTCTGAAAAGAGAAGCATAGGCGGAAGGGAGGCGGGCAGGTAGATGAATGATGAAAATTGGACCTGCGGCGAATGCGGTAATGGAGGTGAGCAGGGCGGAGAGGATGATGGAGGGCCCGGCCGCTCTGTCGACCCAGTGGAGTAAGGCCAAATATGCTCCGCTTCCCACCGTTATGCTCAATCCTACGGGAACGAAGCATCACGGTTCAGTCGCTTTCGTGGTCGTCGTCGAGAGAAACAATACATCAGGATGTTGAGACACAAAGTAAGAAAATTTTCATCCAATAGCGTCATGCTGAGGAGCAAAATCGATGAAAGTTTCTAGGTCGTAGGGGAAAAGCAGCCGCTGCCGCTGAAATTACCGCTACCATTGGGTTGAAATGGAACATTAGCGCGTGTGCTTCTGTCTGTCTGGTCCAACTGCATTCCACGATATAACCTTGGAATTGCTTCACAGCTTGGCATTCAATGATCGGGCAAAAGTAAACCGTGCAAGAGCGAAGACGATAAGTTAATTCGTTAGAATGAAATTCTCCTTACTCTTGAGTGTTTTGGAGAAGTTTCGCCGCTGAGAGCCCCCCCCCCCCTTTCCCCCTTTCCCCCCCCCTTTCCCCCTTTCCCCCTTTCCCCCTTGAGATATTGAAACTTTAATTGATGATGTTACACGCCACAATAAGTAGATATTTGCTAGAAGTTCCTACATCAAACTTCACGATTAGCCCAATTCGTGTGAGTTGGTTTGTCTCGTCGCTTCATGGAGAATTCCATCGTGCTAAAAGTAGACATTAACGCGCTTATGTTAGATTAACGAATTCGACACATCGCGCGACATTTTCCTACTTGGCATTCACAGTGGAAGTTCCCCTCATTAGCCCCTCATAAAAAATCACGGAGCATTTATGTCGGACGATGCTCATTCGGGCCGAGAGCGGAAGGGGGAAGAAAAACGCTCGCAGAGGGGAATTCGCAGGGAATTCGCAGGGAATTCGCGCTGGGTGATGGGATGTCGCCTCGGGGGACCGACTTCCATTTTCTCGTCCCGTCTTTCCCACCGAATGCTTCCCGAAAGAGGGTCCAAAGACCCGATAATTAAGAAGGGATGCGGGGGAGACGAGAAAAGAAGATCCGAAATCGATGGGCATCGATCATAGATATGGACACCCTTCTCCGGTGCCTTATCTCCTTCCTCTCTTTCATCGCGAGCGTCTCGTCTTTCGTCTACCCCCTTTCCGCCCTGCGTTGCATGCGTTCCCGTGGGGAGTCAAGGTGAAACGCGGCGTGACGGGTCGGGTCGACAACAGCAGACCCCTGCTGTTGTCGGGTGCGCCGTGCCGTGGACGTCGTGAAAATTTATATTAAAGATTCACGTCTGCAGGAGTCGTGAGACTTAGAAATTTACCTTCCATGGGAATTTCAATAAGGAAATGCACGAAAAGTAACAAATTGAGAAAATTCTGAAAATGTTCTAAAAAATTCCATTCATAAACCATGGAAACCACAAATATGCACTTAAAGAACCGGTCCACGAAACGTCCAAGTTGTTAGAACTCCCTCGTCCATGCGAAAAGCCCAGGATGCGACTGGCATAATGGGGCCTTGCACGTTCGCTCGGACCGGCAGACCCCGAGCAGCCTCTCTCGTCCAATTAAGGCCTCGGCTCGGTTTCTCCCTTCTTTCGTCCCGCGTTACCCCTTTATTACTGCACTTTCTCCTCCCTTTTCCTCTCAGCCTCCGATATCATTGGCTTCGGTGGAGTTTCGCGGGGCTGTGGGGGGGGGGGGGGGGGCCATCGAGACCCGTCGGCAGGGGCAATTCCACCGGTTCCGTCGAGTGCCGCAGAATGCAGTCGACGCTCTTTGTTTCCAATTCTACTCTTCTCTTCGCATTGGCCCCATCCTGGCCGATGAAAGGGAGAGAATGAAAGAGGCCCACTCTATGCCCTTTGATGGAAATCCCGCGAGGATCGAAGCTTACGTCAACACCGTTTTCGACGGCATGCTCGCCCGTGATGACAAAAATACGTTGTAAATGAATAAAGATGAAAGTTCTTACCGAGGCATAAATAGTCGATGAGGCCGAGGCATTTCCTCGCATGGCCGGGAAGGTCCACTGTCTTCCGACGGGTCAACCATCTCCATATCCCTTTCATCTCATCTCATCTCAACTTCTGCTTCGATATGTACACGCATTTTTCTTCGCGTGTTCTTAATACCTAGGACTCCGTGAGTTTCCCTAAATAGCGAACCCAGTACACCTTTTCGTCATCGTCTCGGAATTAATCTCGTCTGGCTTTTGGACACCGTTGGATATGAAATGTATCTGAGCACCGATGGCACACTACACTGTCCTAAAACCTAATTGTTATTGGGGTCTTGGGTCACAGGGCTTAGAAATACCGCCACACTGAGTTGAAGTGCTTCGCTCGACATTGCATGTCTTAAATGGATCAGAGATAGTCAAAGGATACATTAAAAAAAACTAAAATTTAGAAACGCGGCACGAAAACTGACAACAGATGAAACTACACGAAATGTGGAATGACTCAACTATTAAAACCTCGCTGAATTCCCGATCCATCATTCCGAGGCCGCCCTCTCGTCGCCGCAGCGGAAAGAATGGATCCACAGAGCTCGAGAGCCGAGAGAGAGGAGACTGAGGAAAGATTGAGATGTGGGAAGGGATATAGACCTAGACGAGGGATAGGGAGAGGCGTCCGGGTGTAGGGCAGATGCGCATACACTCGCACTGGCGGGAGACCAGATCAACGTCCCGGGGAAAATGCAATACCTCATCGTTGGACCTGTGGATTAATGGCTTCCTTTCTGTCTTTCTCGCCCTTTCCGATTCCCTTAATTGTTTTCTTTTCCCTCTCGATGACAGAGAAGTTATGCTTCCCCTGCTCCTATTCAATCCCGGGATGTTCTCGCTTCTGGACGAAACGGAGAACGTACGATCAAGGTGAAGCACATTGTCGTGTGGCTGGAAGCAGCTCTCTCATTGGTTGATGAGGTTCTGCCTTCCCCTTCCGCGGGTGAGAGGCTACAGGGTTTCGAGCACGTCTCCTCGTGTCGAACTCAACTGTCCTGCAACCAGTGGCGGATCCAGAGGAGGGGGGGGGGGGGGGCAGGGGAACTAGAGAATCGCCCCCCTTATGAAACATTTTTGTATTCGCAACTGTCTACAACCTGTACTGGAGTCGTCTGCCGTTATTCACTTTCTACTGTCTAACTCTTCTCGTCAGAAACTGCTGATGCGAATTCAATTGCCATTCATTCAGCGGTAACATATCAAGGTTTCATCAATCTTCAACGAGAAAATCCTGAATAGCACTGCCGTAATTAATGGGTGAGGGGTGGGGGTGCTTGACCGTCGACACAAGTGATAAAATGATGGCCTGAATAGGGAAGGGAGTGGTGGAAAGAGGACTGCTTCTTCCCCCTTCCCCCGCTAAAAAAAGAAAAGGAATAGGTTTTGGTTTGTCCACTCAATTCGAAAGCGTCAGAAAGCCTCACTGCTAGAATGCATGACCTAAATGCTAGCCCAACTTTTCCTTTCTCCTTCATATCTGAGCGATGGCTGTGAACTTCCCGACGAAAGACTGGGCCATTCCTCATGAGACGCACCATTTTTTGTTCCGCCGCGATTGGGAGAGGACCCAGGAGAGGAATGCTTGATTGGATCCGTTTCTTTTTCCTCTCAGTATTTCACACGACACATCGACGTCGGCCCGGATTACGTTCGTCTTTCCTCTTTCCTCCCTTTTTCGGCCGCAGACCACCCTTCGCCAAGCATTATTTAAACCCGATTTAGCATGAAGATCGAGACCAGGATAATTGGATGAAGCGACTCCCAACATCTCATGGATTGCATCCCCTTTTTTTTTCTCTCGATTCTTTCCCGTCTCGACATCGTCTTCGACCCTCTTTGCGGCGAATCCAATAAGTAAATTCACTATGTCGATACGTAGAAACCCGATTAGGACTGCAGGAACGAAGCAAACACCCAATCGAGCCCGATGCGGGATCGAATTAACCCCATCTCGGCCGCAATTCCCGCTGAACCCCGGCGGTCTCCCGCTGGGCCCGACACGCAGGCTGAGCATATTACCCCCCTGCCCCCCTTGCCCCCCCCNATTATCCCCCCCTCCCCCCCTCCCCCCCTTGCCCCCCCCCCCCCCACTTTGCCCCCCTGCCCCCCCGTCCCTCCTTCCTTTCCATGGGGCTTCAGCTCGAGTCCGAGTGAGTTGTTACTTCGACCTTCGACGATGCGTTCGTGCACGAAGCAGATGGAAGACTGGGAATATACATGCTCAGAAATATGTCTTTATTTGTAGTTTGATGCTGAAATGCTTACAGTCTTCCTCTCAGACGCCTTGCTTTCTCGGGCGCGAGATTCTACAAGTCCAGCGCCTCTCTTTCTCCGTGCGGCTCTTGCATCCGATCCGAAACCAGATGAAATTCAGATTAGGTTTGCGATGAAAGTGCTTCGTATGCCATCAAATCGACGGGCTTTTGCGTGCAAGTAGTTTACAAGTGCGATGCCAGCGTTTCTTCGTGGTGAGAACAACGATATATAACATCATCCACGATGCATTTGTGAAGTATCGAGTGCAATTGCACATCATATGCAAAAATACAGGCTGCCCCACCTTTATTCGACCATTTTTTCATTCAGAACACGCTCCATCTCATGTCCTCGATTCCGAAGAATAGCCAGAAGAAGATTCTGAAAATTTATGTGGCGAAGAAATGCCCAATTTCTCCCTTTTCCTCTCTGATAACTTTCCGAAATCCACCCCAAAGTTTTGCGGCGCCGATTCGCAAGGGCAGGTCTTCGACGCAAGGTCTTCAGCAACCCACAGAAATCCAAACCCTGTTTTAGGCAGAAAATAGGCTCTTTCCGCAAACGGAAAGGAACAACCGAGTTTCGTCGAGTGTCATTATTTACTTTCGCCGCTCGCATAATTTTCGCTTTCCTCTCCCTGATGAGGAAATGGACTTTCGTCTTGTGTTTTCCCTGCATTTTCAGACTCTCAGAATGACCCTGGTGATACCTTTGACCTTGGACCTTGGAATGACCTTGGACACCGGCAGTCGACCTGCAAGTGTCCACTTTCGCGTTTTCACTTTAGCTTCGGACTGAAGCTACACTGTCAACAGGCATCACTAATCGCCAGGGCAATGGCCCCTTATTTTCCAAAACGAGAACGTTGACTTCTTTTCCATTTTGGCAACGGTCGAACAAAGCTGGGGCAACCCTCTGTACCAGTCGGATCCGAAAGTTCCAAGACCGATTTTATCCCTCTGAAACGTGGAAGGTGTCGATCCGACCATCTCGACGGTCGGAACACTGTCGGCTATGTTTCCGATCTATACCGCTTGTGTCGCTCCCCTCGGTTGCGAGTGTTTGTGCTCGCAGTCGGTGGAAAGTGATTACCCGCCGCGAAACGACAAGGAAAAACGTCAATTTTCGGTCATTCCAGAACGGAAACGCTCTTGAACTATACCCAGAACGATGCGGAAAAGTTTCGTTCGTTCCGTCGGTTCCGAGAACGCCCGCTCGAAACACGAAGAAAGCACAGACCCATCTTTTCGAGAATCCGCGAAAGTCCATTAAGAAAACTGCAGAGCTCGCGAACTTGCGACGATCGTCGATACTCGCGAAGAAGGATGCGTTCGAAATGAAACAGAAGTTCTCCGAGCATCGTTTCGGTACGATAACGTGAAAAGGTGCCGCGGAAATACCGATCGTGCCACAAAATTCGACGTCCGTCCTTTGTTCTTCACGAGACAGTGGGCTCGTAAGGCTAACAAGTGGGCTAACAAGGCCCGCAACTGCGTTCTACTAGTTGCAATCACGACTCCACGCCGAGTGCTGCGACACAAGCGGCATCTATCGGAAGCACAGCCGAGAGTGTTGCCACGTCCCCCATAGAGATGTCTGGATCGACACCCTCCACGTTTCAGAGTAATAAAATCAGTCTCCAACTCTTTGATCCGACTTTGTAAACGAAACTATCGACGATTGAATGATATCGCCGACGGTCAGCCGACATTAAATCTCTGGTGCTTTCTTGCTGCCGTCGCGATGACAAACACACGCCATCCCTCATTTCCACTCAATATTTGACGCCCTCGACCCTGGACTGGAGATCGTTGACGACGATGTAGACGGCATCGGCGAAATACAGCACGGCGTTGACGACGCAGAGGGACCCGCAAGCGACGGCTGCCTGCCAGAAGGCGGGAAAGGCGTCTTTCGGGGGAGCAGGGACTCGGACTCCGGTAAAGTATCGGTTCAGGCCCTTTTCTGGGACCCAGGCGTTGAGGAGCACGGCTCCCGATGCCAGGAACAGCACGAAGCCCGTGAAATTCACCACCGGCACCTGTGTGGGTGAGGGGAGCGCAATATCAGAGGGTGAACGAAGCGCTCGAAAAAAAAAAAAATTTCGTACCGCGCAAAATGCATCATGGAATGTGAAAAAAGTAAAAAGATTGGAGCGAAAGAGCAGGTGAGACGGCTTCATATTTTCAGCATATTTCTCATGCTGCCGAAATGGTATATCAGGTGTCCCAAACAAATGCTGATCCCAACTATGCACGCATGCAGAGAAAGCGCAATGCGTGGTGTCGGTCCGGAATTCACAGGATGTCACATCCAGCATGTTTAGGCAACATCATGAAAATTTCAGTGAAATTGTCCTTAAGGACCCAAGTAACAGCTTCTATTTCTTGCGATATGAAAACAGGAAGCACGGAGGCGTGCGGCCCTGGGTGGAACTCGCCCTACCTCTGACCACACGAGCGGAGAGACGCTACACGCTCAGAGTTCACCGAAGCTTGTCGGAAAACCACTAAAACATGCTGGGTGTGACATCAGTTGGTCCTTAATCCCTTTCCTAATGGTCTCTTCGGTCGGAGCACGGTGCAAGATATCCGCTGGAAATTTGGAGGGTGTCACATCCGGCGTGTGCGGACGTTCATCGGAAACACCAATCGAATTGGTCTTTCAAAGCCTGAGCAACAGCTTTTCTCCCAGCGACGTCAAATGAGTGTATCTGCGTCTACCATAGAGAGTGTATAATGGAGGGGTTTCCCCTATGGCGCGAGGCACTGCATCCTTCCAGGCGCGGCCGCCATCTTACTGAAGTTGCACAAGCAAGGTTTTTCATAGCAGACACATGGAGAGGGGGGGGGCAAAAGAGGCAACTTGCCCCGGGCTATATGCCTGGGGACATCCACGCCGGGACACAACCAATCACGTTATTCATTCCCGCGTGCAAGAATTCACCAAGACGGCGGAAGCACATGTAAGACTCGAGGCAGCGAAGGCCTCTCCAGAGACATATATACTGTACAGGGTGATTCAAAAGTCACTATACATTTTATGCTCAAATAAGTTTTATTGTACAATATGCTATACTACTGAAACATACGTAACATTAGGATACTAATTCAGTACATTTCAATGTGGCCACCTTGC